CACTGTCCTCAACCCGTTGGGAGGGCCCGACCTGTAGTTAAAAAAAACACCAAAAAAAACTATGAACACACTCTGGGAGGCCGAGGCGGAGCGATTGCTGCAAGGTCTCGGGAGTTCGACAACACAGGCCTGAGCGAGACCCTGTCCTACGATAAAAATAGAAGAATTAATTGCCAACTAAAAGTATATATACAAAAAAAAAAAAAATTAGCCCGGGCCATGGTGGTGGCATGCCGTAGCCAGCTTAACTCGGGAGGCTGAGCAGGAGGTATCGCTTGAGCCCAGGAGTCGGAGGTTGCTGTGAGCTAGGCTGACCCGCCACGGCACTCCACTCTAGCCGGCGCAACAAAATTGAACTCTGTCTCAAAAAACAAAAAAAAAAAAAACCTAATGAACAAATTCCTATGCACACTGCACATATCTTATTTTTGAAGTAAAAAACAAACCCGGGCCCAAAAATAGGCCGCAATGGTGCCCGCGCGGCTTGTACTTTGAGGACGACTGGTGTGTCATTGCTTGTCCCGTGGGTGTTTTGCAACACGGTGGATGTCTGTGCGCGCTATTCACCCATTTTGGACTTGGCCATTCTGGATTCCAGAATGCTCCTTGAAGAGAGGTGCCGGGTGCAGTGGGGGGGTCACTGAGACTTCCCAGGACCTACACGGGGGTGACAAAGAGCCTCCGGGTTCAGGTTCCGATAGGATCCAGAAGAAACGCTGGGATAGGGAAGGATCAGAGAGGAATGTCAAGATTGCGGCGGGGGGGGGGGCCCAAAAAGAAAGGAAGGGCCGGCGCGGTGGGCTCACGCCTGTGACCCCCGGCACTCTGGGAGGCCGAGGCGGCCGCATTTGCTGCAGGTCACGGAGTTCGGAGACCCAGGCCTGACAAAGAAGTGAGACCGCCTTCTCTACTAAAAAAATGGAAAGAAATTAATTGGCCAACAATATATCATACAGAAAAAAATTTAGCTGGCATCGGTGGGCAGCATGCCTGTAGTCCCAGCTACTCCGGGAGGCTGAGACAGGAGATTGGCTTGAGCCCAGGAGATTGAGGTTGCTGTGAGCCTTACTCCCACCCGGGCCAACCACAATGAGACTTTGTCTCAAAAAAACAAACACACACACAAACAAACACAAAAAAAAAAAAACCAGGAAGGAAGGAAGAAGGAAGGGAGGGAGGGAGGAGAAAGGGAGGGAGGGAGGAAAGGAGGGAGGGAGGAAGGAAGAAGGGAGGAAGGGAAGGGAGGAAAGAGGAAGGGAGGGAAGGAAGGAGGGAGGAAGGAAGGAGGAGGAAGGGGAGCGGAGGAGGGAGGGAGGGAGGGAAAGGGGATGGAAGGGAAGGGAGGGAGGAAGGAGGAAGAAGGAAGGAAGGAAGGAAAGAAGGAAGGAAGGGAGGAAGGGAGGAAAGAAGGGAGGAAAGGGAGGAGAGGGGAGGAAGAGGAAGAGAGAAGGAAGGGAGAGAGGGAGGGAGGGAGAAGGGGAAGGAGGGAAGGAAGGACAGCGAAGGAAGGAAGGAAGGAAGGAAGGGAAGGGAGAAGAAGGAAGGGAGGGAGGGAAGGGAGGAAGGAGGGAGGAAAGGGAGGGAGGGAGGGAGGGAGGAAGGAACGGAGAGATTCTGTCTCAAAAAAATAAAATAATAAAATAATATTTCAGGCTTCTGGCGCTGCCATGCAGTCTGGGGGCTCCCCCAGTGCCCACGATGGGACACCCCCAGGAGCAGCCCTGGCCAGTGACTTCGGCCAATGACTGGAGGATGACTAGCGCAGGCCCTGCCCCCTGGTCTATGGGGTCCCCAGAGGCCCCAGCTGGTCGCCTGTCCCCTCTCCACCCTTCCCCCCTATCCTTTCTGGGGGGGGGCACCCCAAACCCAGACGAGGCAAGACTGAGGCCGCCGGCCAGCGGGTGGGGAGACGTGGGGGGTGGGGGGCTCTCAGCAGCGACACACAGTCTCGTCCATGGACGCCACGCGCGTTTTATTGGGGGGACACACACTCAGGGAGGAGGAAAGGAGACGACACCCCCCCACCCAGGGACCCGAATCCAGCCGCACCCCCCAAGCCCGCACCGTGGGGGGAGGGGCGGCCAGCGTCGGCTCTCTAGTGCAGAGGCCCGGAGGGAGGCCGGGTCCCCACGTGGCTCCGCCCGGCGCCACCCCGGGGTGCCCACTACTGGGGGGTGCCCACTACCGGGGGTGCCCCCCACCGGGGGTGCCCACTGCCGGGGGTGCCCACTACCGGGGGGGTGCCCCCCACCGGGGGGTGCCCACTACCGGGGGGTGCCCCCCACCGGGGGTGCCCACTACCGGGGGGGTGCCCCCCACCGAGGGGTGCCCACTACCGGGGGGTGCCCACTACCGGGGGTGCCCCCCACCGGGGGTGCCCCCTACCGGGGCCAGCCGTCCGCCAGGGGCAGGCGGCGCAGGGCGGGCGCGGGCCGCAGCGGCTCCGCCAGGGTCCGGGCGAGGAGCAGCGGGTAGGGGAAGGCCGCGGGGAAGTCGCCGGCGCCGCCGGGGGCCGGAGAGACGCGCTCGGACTTGACGCTGACCGCGGGGGGCGGCGGGGACGTCGGGGGGCCCCCCTCGCCGGGGCCGCGGCCCCCGCTGCTGCCGGAGGGGGGAGGGGAGGAGAGACAGAAAAGGGGGTGTCGTGAGCCCCGCGGGGCAGGGACGGAAGCCGGGCAGCGGGGCCCTGGGAAAGCCGGGGGCGGCGGTCCCCCGGGGGCCTCCGAAATAGCCGCCCCGCCCCGCCCCCGCCCCGCGGGCGCGCGCAGTACCGGGCGTGGCCGCCAGGGGGCAGCAGCGGCCGCGGCTCCGCGCGCACCTGGCGGCCCCGGGCAGGTGCGGCGGTGCCAGCGCTCACCTGGGCGGGGCGGCGGCGGCGGGGGGCGCGTCTCCCCGGGAGGACGGCCACGCGGCCAGCGCCGGCGACTGCAGCAAGCCCGGGGGCGGCGGGGGGTCTCCCAGGCCGTACTCTGCTGGGCGGGAAGGGTGGGCTGAGGCCCCGCCACGCTCCACGCGCCGGGTCCCGGTCCCGGGGGCGGCTGGGGGTGTACCTGGGGCGCCCGCGGGGAGGAAGGGGAAGCTCCCCAGCGGCGTTCCCGGGGCCGCGGCGGAGCACGGGCTCTGCAGGCTGCCGTAGAGGCTTCTCTGCGGGGCACAGAGGGCGAAGGGTCACCTGGGGCCCGCGCCCGGGCCGCCCTGCCCGCCCCCACCAGCCCGCCACGCCGTCCCGCCCCCACTCACCGAGGAGCTCAGTCCCCCTCGGGCCCCGGCCAGGCCACCCGGCAGGTCCGGCCTCCGCCCGTCGGCCGCCAGGTACAGGGGGGGCGGCGTCTTGCTGGCGAGGTGGTTTGGTGAGAAGAGAGGGTGTGCCAGGCCTGGGGAGGGGGGGACCCCCAGAGAGAGGGCACCCCGGCCATGTCAGCCGACGAAGCTGGAGTGCTGTGGCGTCAGCCCAGCTCACAGCAACCTCCAACTCCTGGGCTCAAGCGATCCTCCTGCCTCAGCCTCCCGAGTAGCCGAGACCACAGGCATGCGCCACCACGCCCGGCTGATTTTTTCTATGTATATTTTTAGTTGGCCAATTAATTTCTTTCTATTTATAGTAGAGACGGGGTCTCGCTCTTGCTCAGGCTGGTTTCCAACTCCTGACCTCGAGCGATCCTCCTGCCTCGGCCTCCCAGAGTGCTGGGATGACAGGTGTGAGCCGCCGCACCCGCCGAAGTCTGAGGTTTAGAGGTGACTCGGGCACAGGCAGTGCCAGAGCCCAGATCCACCCAGAGGACCCCCTGGGCCCCCCACCACTGCCCCCCGCCAGGGCCTGTGCCCCGCCTCACCTGGGGGTCCGGCTTTAGGGGCCGCTGGTCGGAAGGGGGACGGGCGGCTCTGGGCAGGCAGGGCCTCCCCGAGCCCGCCGGGGTCACAGCCTGCTGGGGGAAACGCCCCGTACACCATGTCCGGGCTGGGCATAGCAGGGGTTGCCGGCTGTGGGCAGAGAGGTGGGTGGGTTGGAGGACGGTGCCAACGGGGAGGCCAAGTCCAAGGGCGAAAATCCCGATGGGTTCAAGGGCCAGCCTCTGCCTTTCCTTCCGGAAGCCTTTGCCACTCTTCTCTTGGGGCTCCCTATCTCCTCCTCCCTCTGGCCTAACCCCACAGGCTGGGGGAGCCTGCTTCTGGCTCTGTCTGTCCAAGACAGCTCGGCCCGGAGCTGAGAGGCCTTTTGCTCAGCATAGAGTTGGCACTGAGGGGGCTGCCTGGGGTGTTTGATCAGAGAAGTAAAGAAGGAAGGAACTGTCAGCCTGTTGAACTCTTATGTATCCTTCAAAGCCCCAGCTGCAATGCCCATTCTTCAAGGAAGCCTCGCCTGCCCACCCAGGCAGAGACCTGCCTCCAAATCCCAGGCTCCCTGGCTCTAGGTCTCTCTCTCTCTCAGTACCAGCCGCAACCACCTGGGCCGAGGAGGTGGGGGAGGGCCCCATTCACAGTGGGGCAGGAGGGGGGGGTCACTTACGTAGAGCCGGGGTCGGGGCAAGGCCGGGTCACCCCCTTCGCCTGCCAGCCTCTGCAGCTTCTCTCCCGGCCCCTCCGGCCCCTCATCTGGCTCCAGCTCTGGCCCCTCGAGGCCCACACCCCTCCGCTTGAGCGTCTGTCAGGACAAGAGACAACAGAGTGGACCCTGCCCTCCCCAACCCCCCAGGCACGGGACGGGGAGAGGCCTTCCCCACCCGGCTCTGTGGCCGGGGTAGCATGCGGGCACAGCCTGCCCCGGCCAAACCCCATCAGCCAAAACCCTAGCGAGTTGCCATGGAGCAATTTCCACCCGTGTGCGAGGAAAGGCATGTCCTGCCCCGGGACCAGAGAGGCCAAGGACCCCCGCCCGGGTCACACTGGAGGAGCTGAGATCCACCCAGGCCTGTTGTCGCCTATCCGATCCCTGCCCCTGGACATGACTCGGGGACCTCCGTGCTGCCCCCACGCACAGCCTCAGAGCCCGGTATGCAGTGGCTGCCTAATAAATGTCAGCGGCTTTCCTGGGACCACGCAACCGCACACGCCTGGGCCCCGGCCTGTCCTCCGCCCGCTTCTCCCCCAACTTCGGAGACCTCAGGAGCTCCCAGCCCCCCGGGTCCTTCCCAACCTGGGCGAAGACTCCCCCGTCTGCAGGGACAGCAGGTGTGGGGACTGAGCCCGCCTCCGCTCCGGCCTCCCCAGTCTGTCCCTCCGGGGGAGGCAGCGGCGCAGACAGAAGCACGCCAGGGTCTCGGCGAGGCCCGCTTGCTTCCTGGGCCGCCCGGCTGGGCGGTGGGAGGACTGGCGGGCTCAGAGCCCAGGGGCGCAGGGGGAGCCTGCGGTGGGCGCAGCCTCGGGGCTGGGGGTCTGCATCGGCCGGGGAGGTCGAGGCGTCTCATCCCGGGAGACTCTGGGGTTGTTGTCTGCACCCCAAGGACTTTGGCCTAACGGATGACAGGTGGTGCCCTCTTTTTTTTTGAGACACAGTCTCTGTTGCCCAGGCTAGAGTGAGTGCCGTGGGGTCAGCCTAGCTCACAGCAACCTCACACTCCTGGGCTCAAGCGATCCTCCTGCCTCAGCCTCCCGAGTAGCCGAGACCACAGGCATGTGCCACCACGCCCGGCTGATTTTTTCTATGTATATTTTTAGTTGGCCAATTAATTTCTTCCTATTTTTAGTAGAGACGGGGTCTCGCTCTTGCTCAGGCTTATTTTCAACTCTTGACCTCGAGCGATCCTCCCGCCTCGGCCTCCCATCATGGGGCCTTTTATTGTCTGTTTCCGTTTCTCTGCGTGCGTGTCTCTGTCTTGGTGTGTGTGTGTCTCTCTCAGTCTCTGTCTGTCTCTGTCTCTCTCAACTTATCATGGCAGAAGTGTAAGAGCACACTCCCTGGGGACAGACACATACAGGCTCAAATCCTGCCCCCTCCGCATGTGTACCGTGTGACCAGAGGTACCGAGAACTCCTCCAAGAACGGGTGACAGAATCAAATGAGGTGACATGCATGTGAGGCCACGCAGCCAGACCTCCGTGCTCGGTGGCCGATGTGCTCTATTTTTGCCGCCCCTGGAGGGGACCCCCCCACGGGCCCAGACTTGTGTTTTCTTTAGACAGAGTCTCACTCCGTTGCCCAGGCTAGAGTGAGTGCCGTGGCGTCAGCCTCGCTCACAGCAACCTCAAGCTCCTGGGCTCAAGCGATCCTCCTGCCTCAGCCTCCCGAGT